TTTAGTAAAAACAATATTTTAATATATAAAGCTAAAAAATTGTCGAAAAAGTGTGAATTTTTTCGTTTTTCTGAAAATTACTCTTTTATAAGTCATAAAACACTAATATTATGCAAATGTAAATTAAAGTACATAAAATTTCCTGGAAAACTAAACAAGAAAAACTATTTTATCTATTAAGAGTAGAGATGATTCTATCACTCAGTCGTATTTTCACTATTTATTATTCTATCCACTGTTGTTACAGAAATATGATGATTTAAAGTTCGTTTTTAATGAAAAAGTAATTGAAATTTGTCATTAAGTCCAGTTTCTTTGGTGAAATCTTTTTTTCTGGACCTTACTTGAAAACCATATAATAATATGTTTAAAAAAGTTAATTTTAAAAATATTATTATATGGTTTTCAAGTAAGGTCCAGAAAAAAAGATTTCACCAAAGAAACTGGACTTAATGATAAATTTCAATTACTTTTTCATTAAAAACGAACTTTAAATCATCATATTTATGTAACAACAATAGATGGAATAGTTTTTCTTGTTTAGTTTTCCAGGAAATTTTATGTACTTTAATTTACATTTGCATAATATTAGTGTTTAATGACTTATAAAAGAGTAATTTTCAGAAAAACGAAAAAATTCACACTTTTTCAACAATTTTTTAGCTTTATATATTAAAATATTGTTTTTACCAAATAGAATGTTTTTTAATGTTAAAAGATATCTTTTGAAGTAATAAATATTGTTTAAAACATTATCCTTCAGAAAATATGTACAATAACCTAGAAAAAAATTAAAAAATCAATATAATTTGAGTTTCCCTCCAACGATTAATTTAATTTTTATCTTAAAATGATTATTAGACATCACTTAAATGATATCAAAAATAAACCAGAAAGGGTCATGACTTTTGGGTTGAATTTCATCCAAGCTCACCGTGGACGGCGACAGACCAAAATAAAATTTTATTTTCCCACTCTCACTGACATCACTCTGAACAAAAAATTTTTCTGGACTAAGAAAAAAAAAATTCCAGATTTTTTACACACCAACAAATCTGAACCAAGTTTATGAAATACTAAATTTAATTAGTCCCTTGTTCGGGCGCCATGTAATGATCTTAAAATTTGCCAAAGGATTTGCTCGCCGGATGGAGTCCAGGTACTTAGAATAGTTAAATTCTTACAATTTAATTATTATTAAATTACACTTAAATATAAATTAATACAATAATTTATCGAGAGAATTTGTGACGTCAATGAGGTTAGGTAAAGTCAGTAAAAAGACATAAATTAAACCTTCGTAAGAAAGTATATTTTAACAAAATATAAATAGTAAAAGAACAAAAGAATAACAAAATAAAGTAATGAAGAAAAATATAAAACGTAGTTAAAATTAGATAACAATGAAATATAAAAATATAAAATATAAAACTCGATATAATGCAAAACTGAATAAGAAAGAAAACTATAAAACGCTATTAAGAAAGTTAAAGAAAATATTGGTCTGCCGTTACTGGCCCAAGGCTACGCCAACGCTGATGTTAGTCTCCGATCGCTCTGTAATGATTTATGAAATATGTTTGTAAAATAATTAAAAATAAATTATGAATAAATGACGCTAAATACTCGCGAGGGGTAGTTACTAGTATTAACCCCCTAGATAACGTTAGGGACGAAAACCGAGATTGTGCACGCGAGACAGTTTAATATCTTAAACTGGAAACTAGATATCAAATCACATTTGATATTCATATCCTGCCCGAAACTAGTGTAAGTATTATGATAACTCAGGTTGCATCTCCACCAAGTGGCCCCTTGGTGTAGAGAATTCACCCGGTGCGTCATCTTCGTCGAGAGAGTTGCCCCTCAACTCGACGAGGATGGTTTAACCATAATTGTATATTAAAAATGTATTTGTGTGAGTGTAGGTGTGTGAAATCTAGTGCTAGAACCAACACGGTTGCCCCCATAGAAGGTTCACTGCACTAGAGAGTAGTGTGAGTAATGCGAGTTGAATGTGTAGTAGTGTAGTGCATGTAGTGAGTGCATTGGTTCCACACGGTAGCCCCCATAGAGCAACCACTGCACTCACGGTGAGAGAGAAAGGAAGCGTGGCGAAGGGTGTTACCCTGGTCATCGGTTGCCCCCGAGCCCCAGAGTACAACTCCTTCTGGGATTTTACATAGAGCTGGTGGTAGAGGTTTTCCCCCACATTTCACCTGCCCTGTGCAAAAGGTAAAAGGGTTAAGGGTGAGAGAGTGTGGAAGTGAGCTGCTGTCGGTCTACCTCGGAGCAAGCCCCGAGCCCTGCCGGCGGCGAACTGAAGAAATTCTCACTGCAACCAAGTATTATAGATCGCCGGCTTTGACAGGTAACTCGTACGGAGAGAGAGCGACCCACGTGCTTGCGCGGCAAAGTATGCGCGTTCGGTACTCTCCTCTCAGCCAGCGAGCTGAGAGCTCTGTAGTATATATAGATATACTAAAAACATGCTTATACGAAAAGATTTTATTTTATGTTAGAAATTAAAACTCTTTCGTTACAATGTTCAGGAATCATAATTCTTTTTTTAATAAATTTACAAGATATCCGATTAATAGGCTTCTTAATTTATGAATCTCCTTTAGTAATTATATTTTTTAACTATTCTAATTTATCCCTCTGTGGCTTTTCTTTTCTTTCAGGTTTTTACTCTAAAGATTTAATGTTTGAAATAACACTTAACTACTGAATTAACCTAATTATTATAACTTTAATATAATTTTCTATCGCTTTAACTATTTTTTATTCTTTTCGACTCATATTTTATTTAACTTGCAATATACCACACTCTAGCCCTATAACCCTTAAAAAAGATAATTTTTTAATAAATTTTTCTATTTTCATACTATTTATTATATCTATTATTTTTGGTTACTTAATTAATTGACTAAGATTTAATAGAATTGATACAAGAATCTTAAATTTAGAGAAAAAAAATTTTATCCACTATACAATAATATATAGAATATTATTTTTTTTAATTCCTTAAGCCATTCATCTTATTATAATTCCAAATTATTATACAACATCATCCCTATATGTAAAAATTTTATATTTTTAAGACAATTATCTATTTCAATAAATTTTTTTACCTTTAATATAATCAATAAACTATTTTATTTAAACGAAATAATATGAAACGAATTTTACACTAAATTAATATTTAACTTTATATTTTTTAACCCTTTGCGTCACAGTGGGTCGCTCAGCGACCCACCTTTTCCTTCTCAGTTTTCAGTATTTCTATGGCATATTTATTAATAAATGTAGGGTTTTCTTTCCGGGCATGTTCCTCATACCTAAACAAGTCTAAGAAAACTGTTGATTAACAATTTGTTAATAATAAAAATATTATAAACAAATAAATAACAAAAAATAATGCTTCTTTTTCAGAAAAAATTCATTTTCTACTTATCCTTACTAATTTTTGAGATGATAATTGTTTTTCTTTACAAATTAGATCCTAAACTATATTTACAATTACTTTTTTGAAATTTTTTTTCATAATTTTTAATAATAAATAACAATTTTTTGTAATATTTTATGAAATAAAAGTATTTCAGATGAAATTTCAAACCTATTTTCATAAAACTCGTTAGTCGGGGGTTTTTGGTGTCGCTGAATACGAATGTAGCATCAGATTTTTTAAATTTAAAATGGCGGATCCAATATGGCGGACGCGAAAATTAAAATTGAACTGAATTTGCTTGAAACTGGTTACTCAGGGGTTTTTGGGGTCTCTAAATACGAATCTGGCATCAGATTTTTAAAATTCAAAATGGCGGATCCAATATGGCGGACGCGAAAATTAAAAATAAACTGAATTTGCTTGAAACTGGTTACTCAGGGGTTTTTGGGGTCTCTGAATACGAATCTGGCATCAGATTTTCAAAATTCAAAATGGCGGATCCAATATGGCGGACGCGAAAATTAAAAATAAACTGAATTTGCTTGAAACTGGTTACTCAGGGGTTTTTGGGGACGCTGAATACGAATCTGGCATCAGAGTTTCAAAATTGAAAATGGCGGATCCGATATGGCGGACGCGAAAATAAAAAATGAACAGAATTTGCTTAGAACTCGTTTTTTTGGGGGTTTTTGGGGTCGCTGAATACGAATCTGGTATAAATATTAATAAATTTATTAATAAACTTAGAAGATTCAAAACGTTCGGATAAAATTAAGGAGTAAAATCAAAAGTGAATGAATCCTGACAATCCACAGTCAGGTAACTCGTTTAACGTAAAATCCTCTTTATAGTATTTGTCTATAAAAAAAAGAATTAATTTTTTGATACTGAATATAATGTACCATTTTTGACAATCCCATTGAACAAACTGTAGATATTAGTAAAGATTTGCTAACCGATGAGTAACTGAAAATGTCAAACTTAATGCAGGATGTGATGTAAAAAACACAAACAATAATACTGCTTCTACTCAACAAAATACCTTCTTTCAACGTAAAAGCTATATTAACATGTTGAGAGAATCGTTAGTAATAGTTTCTCGAATGTCGTTTGTTTGAATGAAGTTGATACTTACCTTTGGAGGGAATCGTTCGTGTAAGTCTGTTGATTGTGATTTGTCCGATTGTAGCCGATACTCACCTGTGGAGGAAATGGTTTGTGTAAATTGTGTCGATTTTTATTTGTTTGATTAAAGTCGGTACTTACCTGTGGAGAGAATCGTTCGTGTAAGTTTGTCGTTTGTCATTTGTTTGTTTGAAGTCGGTACTCACCTGTGGAGATATTCGTTTGTGTAAGTCTGTCGTTTGTCATTTGTTTGTTTGTCCGCCATATTGGATCCGCCATTTTGAATTTTGAAATTCTGATGCCAGATTCGTATTCAGCGACCCCAAAAACCCCCGAGTAACCAGTTTCAATAGATTTCAATAAAATGAAAAATGTATGACTCAAAGGGTTAAACAAAAAAATTTTTTAACTTTATCGATCAATCATGCCCCAGTATCCTCCTCCCTTCGCATATCCTACACCATCTCACATGATCCCACCTCAAAACCCGCAATATCCAACACCTTTTGCATATCCGCAAATGATGCCCCAGGCTCCTCCTAATCCCACGCCTATGCACAACCAATATCCTAGACCGACTCAGAACTATCGGACTAGTACAACCCCACCACGGGCTGTGTCTCCAGCACCTGCTAGTAATTTAGACTACCAGCAGACTCGCCGTCCGGACGCACCAGCGAGTCCCCTTCCGCAGCGTCCGAAGAACGTGCATTTTGCGGAACACTCAATAGGATCTTTAGAGCAAAATCAGAGGCCGAGGACTCCCCAGTAGTCGAATTAAGCGCCCCTGAATTCAGACATGACAAAATAAGGTTCCTCGTAGATCCTGGGTAGGACACTAACCTCGTGAAGATGTGTGCGTTAAATCCCGTGCTCACACTTGTTCCAGACAAGTGTCTTGAGATTACGGGAATAACTAATCACGCTGTTAAAACAATGGAAACCATTCAGTTAACTATCGATAATGTTCCGGTAGAATTTCACGTCGTCAAAAACTGTTTTCCCATATCGACCCATGGTATCCTTGGAAGACTGTATCTACGACAGGTCCAAGCCCAAATTTCTTTTAGGCATAACACCCTTGTGACCATATCTTCCCCAGTGACCCCTATCAATTTTGTTGATAAGGAATCACTGGAGACTAAAGCCTTAAGGTCTGAAATCAAACCGTTTGCTCGAGTCCTACGCATCAAATCCCGCACAAAAACCCCAGTCGCGATGGATATAATTAACACAGGGTTAAAGGAAGGATATCTTCCCCGAATCGAAACCCCAGAAGGACTTTACCTGGGTGAGGCCATTGTCACAAATAAGGATGGTGTATGCCACGCCATGGCAATCAACACTACCGAAAATGACATTGACATAACCCTTAAACCTCAGGAGTTAATCCCGTTCGATTTCTGTAAATTCCCTGGTGAAGAATTTACAGATTCTGAGGCTGAAGGCACTCAATTCGATTCGCAACAAACCTATTCCGAGAGAGTCATCAAGGTCAAGAATGCGTTATACTTGGCTCATTTGGCTCCAGACGAGCGGAAAATCGTATCAGGATGGGCGGAAAACTATGCTGATATATTTCATTTAAATGGTGAACTACTATCGTGCACTCACCTTATCCAGCATAGAATTCCGACCATCGACGAAAAAGTCATTCACAAGAAACAATATAGGTCCCCTGTCGAGGCCCTTGAACAAATTGACGTTCAATTATCGAAGCAGTTTAACAGCGGAATTATAGGACACTCTAATTCCCCATACAACTCGCCACTGCTGAATGTCCCAAAGAAACTTGATGCGTCGGGTGAGAAAAAGTGGCGTGTTGTAGTAGACTACAGAGTCCTAAACGAAAACATCATAGGAGACGCTTTTCCACTGCCCAACATAACCTCAATATTCGATAGGCTGGGCACCGCACGCTACTTCACCGTTTTTGACCTTGCCAGTGGTTTCCATCAGGTGGAAACTCACCCAGCCGATAGGCATAAAACTGCCTTTTCATCTCGCAATGGTCATTATGAGTACAAGCGGATGCCCATGGGCATAAAGAACGCCCCGCCTACATTCCAACGACTGCTAAATAATGTTTTAAGTACTATGCTCGACGATGAAGCGTTTGTGTACTTAGATGACATTATAATTTACTCTGACACTCTTAAAGAACACGACAGACGAGCACGTAGACTTTTCAATCGACTTAGGGATGCTAATTTGGGAAAGAATCGCCAGCCTCTGCTCCCCGGAGTTCAATTGTTTTCAGAAATTTGTTTTTCCCATTTTATTTATTTTCAATATATAATATTGAAAAATATATAGAATATATATATATAAATATGTAATAAAATTGCCAGTGGAGTTCTATTGATTATGAATTTTATAAATCTCTTCGCAATAATTAAATTGTTTTAGCGAGGAGTAGCATTTTACCAGGAATTCAATTGTTTTCATAAACTGGCATTTCGCTTTTAACATCCGTAGTAATAGTATAATTTTATGTCGCATGTCACATGAGAATAAGACTTAAATTTTATTCCGTTAAACATGTTACATTTTAGGGTTGACTATTGTTCATGGAGGAGAGTGATTGACAATGAGACGATAATGGAAGATATGTTTGTTACAGTATTTTGACTTGCTAAAAAAAATAATATAAATTACATTTAATTACAATTAACTACTTATTTGTTGTTTTGTTTCTAATAAGTTTTCAAGGAAAAATTAAATAATATTATTTTCATACTATTAACATTAAAAAATTCAATTGTTCAGAAGAATCCTACACAAAATACCTATTTTCTAAATTTATTCAAAAAGGGGTCGGAGAATTTGTCAAGATGCTGAAACAACTTTCAATTTCAAGAATTCATAAGAAAATTCTGAATGTTATTCCTCAGCGTTGAAGAGATTTTATTTAGTTCGAACCTTTTCTTTGCAATGATTGGACTTTACAAATTTAAAAATTGAATTTTTGAGATGATTCAATTATTGAGGAATGAATAAATGGTGAATTTTTACTGGAGGTTCATTATTTGCAGGTTTTTCTTTGTGGATTTATTTGCAGAATTTCAATTGTTTTATTACAAATTTTGATCAAATTCCCGAAAAATGTAATTGTTCTTGAAAATTTTGTTAAAATTTGTCAAAGAAATTTAATTATTTCAATAACCTCTGCTACAATTTGATTATTAGAATTCAAATATTATTCAATAAATTTAATTTCGTATTTAAATAGTGAAATTCTCGTAGAATTATCTCATGAAAATTGACTTAAAAGTGAATTTCGGTTGGAATTTTAGATTATAGTTGAACATTAAAAGTACTAGAGCGTAAGGCTTTAGAAGCGATTAAATTTTGGGAGATTTCAGGATAAAATCTTTGAAAATTTGAATTTTTTTTACTAAGTAACAATCCTGTGGAATTGATCCTTGAGAAGTTTTAATTGCTAATTTTTAATTGAAATTTTATTTTCTGATACATATTTAATTGAAGAATTGATTTAGGGATTGTCAAGGAACTTTTCGGGGGTTATAAGAAATGGTCGACTTCGAGAAGAATCTTAACTGAGGATTCTTGAAAGTAGTAATTGAATTGGCAATGGTTTTATCACTCTATCTTTAATTATTATAAAACGTGAGGTAGTCGATCGCTCCGAGTCCTTGAGTCGGAGCTGTCGGTATCTTCAATTTTATCTAAAAAAGTAAATATATATTCCAGGTAAACTTAGACGTTTTCTTTTTCTTGGCCACCTAGTCTTAATTCTACACATTGATTGTTTAATTGGATTTTAACTTTATAATATTCGGAATAGATATTTGATACATATATATATTTAACAAAAATTTTTTTTTTTGACAAAGGATTTTCATTGATTGTTGAATATTCTATGACTCAAGTAATTAATTAAATACATTAATAGCACAGTGCAACAGCATTTTTATTTTTGGAATCGCATAGGGTGATTTTTATAGGTTTTTTGATGCTGAATGCGAATCCGTAATTAGAATTGTTCCATCACCCTAGATTTTTGAGAAATTTGACCTTGAAAATTAAAAAAAGGCCGTTTTTGGGGTACTTTTTGGTTTTTTATCAGGATATAAAAATTTTTCCTAGGGTTTTCACTATGTGCGTACGAAAGCCCATATCTTCCTTAACAATTTCCAATTTGGACCTTTTAAAAATATCTATTTTTCGATGAGTTATCTTTATTTGAAGTTCGCGTCGCATCATAAAATCAGCAAAAATGCCGTTTTTGAGGTATTTTTTTGTTTTTTATCAGGGTACCAAAATTTTTTCTAGTGTTTTCATGATATATGTAAGAAAGCTCATATCCTTCTCAACAATCTCCAATTATGACATTTTAAAAATATCTATTTTTCGATGAGCTATCCTTGTTTGAAGTTCGCATCGTAACGTCAAATGGGATAACAGTGAGAAAAATATTAACATAATATTAATATTATTAATATTAACCCATTAAATCTCAAGCAGAAACCAATGATTCATTAAAGAAACTATTATATTTTTAGGAAAATCAAAAATAAATTGACCATTTTTTTTTGTTTATCATTTCAAATTCTTTAACAATAATTCAACAAAAACAAAGATAACTCATCGAAAAATTGATATTTTTAAAATGTTTAAATTGGAGATTGTTGAGGAGGATGTGAGCTTTCGTACGCATATCATGAAAATCCTAGAAAAAATTTTTGTACCCTGATAAAAAACCAAAAAGTATCCTAAAAACGTCCTTTTTTCAATTTTCAAGGTCAAATTTCTCGAAAACCTTGGGCGATGGAACAATTCTGATTACGGATTCGCATTCAGCATCAAAAAACCTATAAAAATCACCTTATGCGATCCCAGAAATAATAAAAAAGTGAAATTCTGTTGCACTGTGTAGTAAGTCACGTTAAAAGTTTACGAAATAAACATATTAGACAACATTTTATGTAATAAAAATTATTTTAAAAAAATAAATTGTATTAAATTACTATTTTTTTAATGCATTTTGATGATTCGAATTTATGTTTATGTAGTTTTGGTAATATGATAGTTATTTAATAATAATGATATCTGTCAAAATTTTTGAAAAATGAGTATTATATCGTTAACAATTGCATTACTTAGAGTTTTACATGTTAAAAAGAAAAATTATTAAAAGGTTAAAAAAAGGAAAACTAAATATTCTGTAATTAAGAAATTAAAAAAAAAAATTTTTATCGAATTAATAGAAACTACGTGAAGAACAACTGGAAATAATAAAGAATTATTAAAGAATTACATTGAAAATTTTTAACAAATGGAATTCTCAAAATATTTTAACTTGATAATTGATAAATGGTTGAATTGTATAAGGAATCACACTCTAATGTAGTTATGTTTTCTAGTGCAAAGATTAATAATTAAGATTTTATTTGTTAATATAAAAGAAGATGCACACTTCAAAATTTTTTTTTGATAAAATTGAGTTCTTGCAAAGTTTGTTTTGAAAATAAAAAAAATAAGATTTTTGAAATTTTTCAATTCCGTTGTTTCAAGATAATTGGATTTTGTAAACAAATAATTGAAAATTTCTATAGAAATGAAATTTCTTTACATTCTGTGAGAATAATCTACTTCCTTAAAAAAGAATTTTACTTAAATTCTTCGAAAATAATCAAGGGAAGTTAATCACCGTAATTATAATTGTATTAATATATATATATATATATATATATATATATATATATATATATATATATATATATATATATTCCTTACAAGAATTCAACT